CCTCATGCTGCTTGAATTGGGTGGATGCTTGTTGGAGCTTTAACGAGCATCGTCTCGCAAACTTCTGAAGTTTTGGGTCCTTCCTCCACAAAATTTGCTCATTGACTCTTCTTTCACTTAGTTGTCACATCCAAGTAGGTTCGCATCACTTCCGCTTTCGATTGGCATTTCGTTGGGAAATGAAGCGGACAATCTACTCTCAGTAGCATTGATCACCGTTGGTGAGGATTTGACAACTATTGTCTTCCATTATCTTCGAAGGGTCTTTGAACTTGTGCAGAGCTCCTCTGCTGGATAGATAAGAGAATTGGGGTACTCGATTTCGTCCATTCTCTTAAGAGTTGAGAAGGCAAAGGTTACTTGACTTCGCCCGCCTCCTCGAGGTTGTACTTCATGCATCGAGCTGGTTACTAGCCTTCGCCTGCTCTTTGCTCACACTTCTGAAGCACTTGAAGTGTTTGCACTCCTTGCGTTGAGTTAGTTACTGAGATTCACCTTCTCAATGCCATCAAACTTCTGGAATGCAGGAAGTTTTCACCCCTAACTTGGAGTAATTCTCTCATAGGTTTGGTCGCCTCTGGGATTGTACCATCTTCTCCATCAACCCTGCCGCCTACTCCACTGAGTAGCAAAGGTACAGCACCGCGTACTGCCTGCTTCGTTCCTTGGTTATGCACTCTTGCATGACCCGAAGTCCTTCACTTTCGGCTATCTTGATGAGAAGCTCATAGACACTGGTCTTACGATGTTCCTTGGCCTCTGCCCTTCAGCCTTGTCTCGGTACTTAGATATTGCCTCTGCATGCTCCACCTCCTCGGCCCCTTTCACGACCAAGCGCTCTCCTCCAGGAGAGCAAGGGATCAATAACTTTCACGGAAGTCCCGCCTCTGCGGTACCATGGCGCTGCCATGCCCATGGCACTACTATCCGTCGCCTCGCATCTGCATCCCTTTTCTTCACAATCAGTAGATATGCCTCTATGATACTCCTCCGAGTCCACCTCCATTCTAACTGATGCTTAATTTTGGATAGCTAAGTCCCTCTGGACTCGTCGTCGCTTCCTCGCCCCTTTCGACCCCCTGCTTCAACACCTCTGTGTTCTCCAAGCAGTCCGTTTGGTCGACGGAAAGACAGACTGCAACTCCCATGCATGGCCTCTGCCATCACATTGTAGGGTTTGCACCGATTCTGTTCTCCTTAGCTTCCTTGGTAGCAACGTTCGCTTACTCGACTTTGTCCTCTGACTTGTCGGGCTCCCTTAAGCGAATATGAGCTCTGGAGCAGTCCAACTCTCCAACTGCTTCGATCATACCTCTGTATGATCTAGTTCCTCCCATGGAACTCACTGGTACTTACATTCGAACTTTTCCCTTGGTGGAACACAGCCCCCATATGCTGATGACCAAGGCTTTCATCCGATGCAAAATTCGATGCACGCACGGAAGACCCGCCTCTGCGGTACCATGGCCTTCACTCCTTGAATCCATAGCCCTTCTTGCCGTCGTGTTGTTCACCGAAGTGGAGCTTCTAGTAGCTCCCGATCATACCTCCGTATGATCTAGTCCCTCCCGGGACTATATCGTGTGTATCGCATTGCCACGAACTGTTCCACCACGATCCGCTGCACCATGTCGCCTCCTGGTGACATCTCCATTGCATTCTGATCCTTGTGAAATAAACTCGAATTGTGAACCCTCCATGTGTGGCCTCTGCCAATACATCGCAGGGTCTCCTCCACCTTCGATTTTGTTCGCTCCTTTGGCAATCGACCTTCATCCACCCACTCTTGAGTCACACCTAGATGAAGCACCGCTCTAGGACAGTCTGTCGCCTAGTAGCTCCCGAAGTCCACCGACTTCATTGTAATTTGTGCATCATTGTCTGGATCCTGGGCCTCTGCCCCTACCAGCACAATCTCCGCTGCGCACCGCTTCCTTCAAGGCAACTTGAATGGCAACACTGTGACAGATTCTTCAAGAGTACCCGCCTCTGCGTCCTCTTGCCCCGTGCTAAGGCCTTCTGAACCCAACTTCGCCTCTACAAATTAAGTCACCTTAGTTCCTCCATCAAATGCTCCTCCGAGATAAGGTGCATGTGCCCAGAAGCTCCCTTCGTCTTTGGCACCATGCTAGATGAGTCTGCTCCGTTAGAATGAAGGACCCATGGAACAACATGATCCTACTCTTGCCTCTGCAAGAGTTCATGTCCTTGACCTCTGTCTAAGGAAAGCACTGTGCCTCTGCTCCATGTTCCAACTTCTATGCTGGCTCCCTTCATGCGGCTTGGGTACTTCGCCAAGTTACACCCAAGTTGCTCCGCTCCTCGTTTTTGCATTGAGTCGATGGTGGCCCTCGTGCCCACCATTCCACGGGTCAGCCCTCCCTTGAGTCCGATCTCCACATCGACTCCAAGTGTGCCTTCATTTAAGTTGCTTTGGTTCGCTCCCCCACTTGATATCGCAATGCATTCTCTCAAGCGAGATCATGCGACGACTCCTCGCCGCCTGCTCAGTCCATCGAGCTTCGTGGAGTTGTTGTTTGTTGAGGTACTCCTCCTCAACATGTGAGGTCCGTCCCACATGATTCTCCCTCTGGAGAGCCGGGACTTATCCCTCCTGGATAACTATCCCGTTGGAGCAACATCTCTCTTCGTTTTGGAGACCACCATCCCCTTGGACTACTCCGATCTGCTGAGCAAACTGTGCATTGTTCTGCCTCCTGCAAACGCACTTGCTAGATTGCGACTCCCCGTCAATACAGTCCCCGCTGCACCCCTCAAGGCCTAGCAACATGCTAAACTCGTTGCACACTTCAGCCTCCTACGGACGTATCCTTCACATGCCGAAGAGAAAGTTTCAATGCTCCATGGCACCGAGTTTCGGTCGCCTTGGGATGGCCACGAACATTCCATCGTCCGCATACAAGCCCATGCATGAGTACCAAATTCTTCGAGTTAGCAATTCCCCTCACCTCTGTGAGCTCTGCAGAACTCTTTTGGTCGTTGAGCAACTCATTCCACCTTGGATGGTCTCATCCTTTACCAAGCGCCTCGCTTGTCTTGAGCACCATCAAGTATAGTTGTCAACGTTGAGCCGTAGCTCAAACTCAGCCATCCCAACCTTTGTGCGCTTCGCATTCTTCCAAGCTTGCCTGTTCTCGTGGTGCCTTTTGCGCAAAGGGTTGGCCATTCCTCTGAATGCCAATGTCAGATGCCCGCTCCTCCGAGCGACTCCTTTTCCCTACATCTCCATGCCCGTTTTCCCCCAAACGATCGCGCGTGTGCTGACTGCCCTCAACGCAGCCCTGCTAGGTCCCCCACGTTTGCATGCTAAGTGTTTCTATGAGTGCTTGTCCCGCTCTGATACAATCTGTCACGGACTTAGCTGGTTTTGCCTAAGTCGTGCGGCACCCTTGCGTGTCCGTCCGCAAAGGTCAGCCTCCCGGAAGCCTCCCATTGTCCCTTAGGACCAACAAAAGAGAGAACGGGTTAGAGAGAACGCCTCAATCGGGATCCACAAGCAAATATCTCCGAAAAACACTTCATAGACAATGCAAATTACAAACAGACTTTACAAGCTCTGAACAGTGGCACAACAAAGGGTAAAATGGTCCATTACAGACTGAAAATCTCTCGCACGTGTCCACATGACACAACCTTTATTTACAAGCCTAAAGAGGCCACCAACCCAACTAAAATGGGACTATTAAGCCTTCGGCCGCCCCTCTACATGCTGTACAAGGCATGAACATGCCAAAAGACACGGACATACATAAGCATTACATCAAACATCTTGTTTAGAAGTTTGTCCGTGACAGAAGGTCAACCATTTTATCTAGCGATCACAAGTGTGACTGGTTGACATTTGCCTTGATGCACATAAAAGTCCACAATTAACTTTCTTATAGGCAATTGGAGAAAATTGTTTATCTTCATCATAGCATGCCTGTCAAGCTATGTTACATAAACTTGGTAAGGAACAAAGGAGCCCAAGACAAATCTATCTATTCTAAAGTTTTATAATGATGACTCAAACTCAATGACAGGTTGGAATGTGCAACAGAAAGCTTAGGTGATCCACTTTTGGATACAAGAGGAGATCCATCATATGCTAATCATTTTATTTTAGAGGTAATCGAGGAGGATTGACTAGGTACCAGGAGGCTTAATATGAGGAAGAGCGGCATCAGATATCAGTATAAGGTTGGACTATAAGCAGTCAATCCTCCATAGACCATGGTAGAGCACGTTAGAGTCGATTGTCCAGCTTTCAGGGCAGAAAAAAGATTGCTCATCACAATTGGTTGACCTTTGGATGCAATCGATGAGCAACAAGTACAATTAAATGAGGAGATGCCTTTTCCCTCAAATTCCGCACTTCATGAGATTCACAAAGATGTCAAGATATCATGTGTTGGTATGCCCCAATGTTGAGATCATACCAAGTCAAGACCATGCCAGTTCGCCCAGGAACGGATATGAATCTCAAACCAAGATTTTGAGCCTTGGTCTATTGAAACTAAGAGGGATCAAATCTGGCTTTAACTTGTTGCTCTTCTACCGTTATGTTCTATGCTCTTATTTGCTATAAAGTTTTAGCCAGAAAGTGGCAAACTTCCATTACAATTTTATGTGCTTTTTCAATTAAATAACATCTTATTTTTGCTCAGGGATTAAATTAACTTTTTAGTGATAGCTTATAATTCCAAGCCTCATTGCTGTGAGATAATGCAAATATACAAAATAAACTCAATAACAAGGACAACCATAAAGAAAACCACTTATGAAAGGGCTTGTTTAGATAGTTAAGAATTCAATAAACATGACGTGTGCATAAGAATCTAAATGTTAAATTCAACAACTATTATTACTAGAAAAAAGAAAACAACTAATAGAACATATAATTTATCATGTGTATACAGAGAAAGGTCATTGAAAGATATATTAGTAAATGACCTAGGAATTGCTATATCCATAGTAGAGTAACTGGTTGCTAATCTCTAATAAGGAGACTCAAGAATGAACCAATAAGATATTGGATAAAATAGGGTATTATGAAGTTGTGAAGAGGATAATATTATAAACATGGCATTGTCACCTAGCATCATCGAAATAGCACACAAGTCAGTAATCCAGGAAGCATGTTTTAACTGCAATAAAAAGAACATAAGCAAAGAAAAATAAAAAAAGAAGCAAAATATGACAGATAAGCCTGGGACATCTCAATTTGACAATAGAACATTCATTTAGATAGTTGGTGGGTTCATTCATTTGTTATACATAAAGTCCTATGTAAAAAAAGAGTTAAATGGTACTAAATAAAGCATAGTTATGAGACACGAACCAAAATAAAGAATAAGAACAATAAATAATCAAATTAGGCATCACTGAGTACAACAACAACCAGTAATGAAGAGGCTAGAATTTACATCTAAGAAGATTTTATGTATGAAGATATGCAAACTGACATAAAAAATAGACTAGCAATTAAAAGTTACCAGGAAATTATAGGCAAGCCCATAGGTACTTCTCTTTCTTCTCTACTTCTCTCCTCTTCTCTTTGTTTCTCTTCTTCTTCTTGTTTATTCGTTACTTTATACTCTCCTCCTGTCCTCATGTTCTCTATTCCTTTACACTTCTCTTCTCTTCTATTTTGTCTTCTCCTCTTCTTTTATTCTTTTTTTTTTTAACAGTATAATTGGAGAGGGCAGTGGAATCCAAATCATTCTCCCTCCCTCCACGTCTCTTCCCCAATAGATGTGGCATTCAAGAAATTCTGACCTTTCTCTTCAATTGTCATTGTCCAGAATGACCCTCAAATGATGGGTCTCGTATACATTCAATAAAAAGTTACTTTCTTGCAAGATGTGCAAACTTATATAACCAAGTAAGATTGAAAAATGAAATCTAGACTATCAACCAGCTTTTTTTGACACTCAAAAAGAGTCGCAGAAAATCCCTTCAAGAAATAACCTCACTCCATATGCATGAATCTCCTAAAGTAATCATCAAAAAAGACAATGTAGGATAAACCTAAACAACTATATTAGATTGTTTGAATAAGTAACTATTTTACCTGACCTTGAAACAAATTAATCCTAGCAGGAGTCTAATTCTTTTTCTATCTTCAAGTGGAATATATGCAGCTTAAAGTGAAGGAACAATATCTATGCAGACGGACCTGTAAGATTCCTCCGATCTGCTGTTCCCTGATGGACGCGAAGTTCTGGAGGGTAAGGCAATGCTCCTTGAGTGCATCCACGAGTTGCGATACCCTAATCCCAGCCTGAACCGTCACCCGCTTCGCCTCGCGGTCCACCTCAAGCACCTTGTCCATGAGGGCCAGGTTCACCATGCCGGACTTGGCGAGGCCAAGCCCATTGGGAGAGAGCCCGGAGCCGACGGGACGGATCCGGCGGCGGTTCTGTTGGGCGTCTCGAACAGCGGCCTCAAGGTCCGCGAGGGTCTCCGGCTGGAGGAAGACGCGGGTGTGTACCTCGTGGGTGCCACTCCAGTTGGAAACCGTGTGGAGGTCGTCGGAAAGAGGGGCGTAGCGGAAGATCTGGGCCTTCTTGTGCTTGGCATCCGCCGAGAAGGGGAAGGAGTAGTAGGTGGCGGCGCCGCACCCGACGAGTAGGACAAAGTAGCCGGCATACTTTCGGAGTTCGGCGTCGGAGTCGGCGGAGGAGGAGAGGGGGCGGAGGAGGTGAGAAGTAGGGCTAGGGATGGGGTTTAGGGTTGTAGGGGGATAGCGGGGAAGGAAGGGAGAAAAGCGGAGCGCCACGCGGGCGGTGCGCCGAAACATCCCGGCGCCTGCAGCAGTGCAGTGAGATCCAAACGAAACTTCTTCCGAAACTTTTTGGAGCCGTTTACAGTTTTGGGTGGAATATAATGGAATGTCGTCTCTCCTGACGCTTCGACGAAGGATAGACGAAAACCTTTTCAAGATTTATTCGATATGGATTCGAGCGAAGTGTTATTGGTGTTAAGTACGTACACGTTCAACTGTTTCATGTCTTATAAATTACAAAAAAAATTTCAAGATTTTTATTATAATTATTCAAATTTTAATATAAATTTTTATTATAATTTTGATTATATTATAATAATCTAATTTAACTATTTCAAGCTATGCATGATAAACTACAGAAATTCTTCAAACATTTTTAATATAATAAACTAAATTTTAATATAAAATTTTATTATAACTTTGATTATATTACAATAATCCAAATTAACTGTTTTAAGCGATGTCTTGTAAATTACAATATTTCTTCGAGGGTTTTTATTATAATGATCTAAGTTTGAACATAAAATTTTATTATAATTTTGATTATATTAAAATGATCCAAGTTCAACTATTTCAAGTCATACATGATAAATTACAGGAATTTTTTGAAAGTTTTTATTATAATAATTCAAGTTTTAATATAAAATTTTATTATCATTTTAATTATATTATAATGATCCAAGTTTAACTTTTAAGTTAGGCTTTACAAATTACGAAATTTCTTCGAATGTATTTATTATAATGAGCAAAGTTTTAAAATAAAATATTATTATACTTTTGATTACATTATAATGATCCAAGTTCAATTGTTTCAAACCATGTCTTACAAATTACGGGATTTCTTCCAAAGATTTTATTATAATAATCCAATTTAAAATTTAATTTTAATTATATTATAATGATAGAATTTCAACTGTTTCATGCTCGACAAATTACAAGATTTTTTTGAAGGTTTTTATTATAATCATCAAATTTTTAATATAAAAATTTATTATAATTTTGATTATATTATAATGATCCAAGTTCAACTATTTCAAGCTATTCCTTACAAATTACAAGATTTTTTCAAAGGTTTTTTGAAAGCACTAATTTATAGAGGATTCTGGAGGCAACATTACATGCACAACCGAAGAACAGAAAATAAAAATCCTCATATTTCTCATAAATTATATTCGTCATCATGTGAAAATTAGTACGTAAAATCCATAAAATTGAAAACTGAGTATATGATGTTGAATCTTGGATTTTGATGATGAAATCAATTGATAACTTGTTTGATCTAATCTATATGTTGAGAAAAATATACATGATTAACTATGATAGGCGTAAGACATAAAGCAAATGTTGTGTCAGAGTCAAGATCGAGATCTCATTGGGAGTTCAAGAGTTCTTCGGAAGTCAAAATGTTCATCGAAAGTTCCACCGGAATTAACCGAGAAGTCCAAGAGATTGCCAAAGAAGCTCGTCGAAACTCGTTAAGAATATCGTTGTGAAGTCCGGGAGCTTGCCGAAAGTCCGTCGGAACATTGTTGAGAGATCGTCGGAAGTTCACTAGAAGAACGATTGACATACCGGAACAAGAATGTCTTAATTATCGTAGTTAGACCTTAAGTTGAGTTAGGATTGGGAGATAATCTCACTAAGGCTCTTAATAGGGCTGAAGTGAGCCAGTTGAGTAGCCTATTCAGCACCTGAAATCACGGTCGATGGTGGCATCGCTTGGGACTCAGTCTCCCAAGTTCTTAGGGCAGTGGTACCGCTAGCAGTTATTACTTACCAGCGGTGGTACTACTTATCAGGCGATGGTACCACTAGAGCTCAATCTTTGAGAGCTTTGTCAAGCGGTAGTACCGCCTAGTGTTAGAGAGTCAAGCGATAGTACCACCTAGTGTTAGAGAGTCAGGCAGTAGTACCACCCAATAATGATGGTGGTACCGTCAGTACTACAAAATCTGGGGAAGTGACACTTTTTGGCTCCAATTCTGAAGCCATTGAGGTCTATAAATACCCCACCCTTTTCTATATAAAAGGGTAACAAAGTGCAATCAAAAGTGTGAAAAAATCATCTAAGAAAGAGGAGTGAGACTTGTAAGGGTTATCTCCTAAACCCGTGAAAAAGAGAAAGCACTGTAAAGAGGTGGTTGGTCTTCACCTATTGAAGGAGGACCATTAATGGACGCTAGTGACCTCGATGGAGGAGGAATCGAAAGTGGATATAGGCCACAATGACCGAACCACTATAAATTTCGGTGTGTTCTTTCCTTATTGTAAATTCTCTTTACTACATTCAACTTTACTACATTACAAACTGCCCAACCTTCTCCTCTCTACTTATTCAAAGTGAAACAAATGATTTGAGTCGAAACCGATTTTTATCGAAACGAAATATTTTTCGGAATCGACGTAATTTTTCCTCTGCACTAATTCACCCTCCCCTCTTAGTGTCACTCTTGATCCTAACAATTAGTATCAGAACAAGGTAGTTTGGTTTAAAAGGGTCATTCAATTACACGTCCTCCCATGTTCAATAGGACGGATTACACATATTAGAAGACTAGAATGAGGATCTTTCTAATTTCAATGGATTTTGAGTTATGAAATCTTGTGGAAAATAGCTTTCAAAAGTCTTCTCTTCCAATAAGCAATTAGAATGAGTTGAAGAAGAAAACTTTCACTTTAAATGCCAAAGCTATGAATGTCTTAATTTACGCTTTAGATAAAAACAAGTTCAATCGAGTGTCTATCTATGAAATGGCCTTTGATAGTTGACACACACTCGAAATCACTCACAAAGGCACTAGTAGAGTAAAGGCAATTGTTTCGGATAAAACCAAGCGAGACTATTGTCGACATGTACACCTGTTTTATAGATGTTGTCAATAGTTTAAAAGCTCTTGGCAAATATTTTTCGAACTTTGAACTTGTTAATAAAATTTTGAGATCACTTCCAAAAAGTTGGGACCCTAAAGTAACGGTCATTCAAGAGGCCAAGGATTTAAATAACTTTCCTCTCGAAAAACTTATCGGGTCACTAATGACCTATGAGATGACTTTTAATGCTTATGAAGAGCTTGAGAACAACCTTCCAAATAACATGAAGGATATGATACTAAGAACTCAAGAAGACCACTTGAAAGAAAATTCAAGTGATGAGGACTATGATGATGACTGATACTCTTAACAAGAAAGTTAAAAAAATTCATAAAAAGGAATAAATTTAAAAATGACACTAAAAATAAATTTGAACCCAAGAAAAAACAAGTTATATGCTACGAATGCAAAAGGCCGGGACATTTCAAAAGTGAATGTCCCCAAGTAAAGAAGAAGCAACCAAAAAAGAAGAAGGCTCTTAAAGCAACTTGGAACAATTCAAGTGCATTTGAAGAAAAGGAGCCAACCAACACAAAGCAAGTTACTCACTATGCACTAATGGCTATCAGAGATCAGGTAAGCAGTTCATTAGATACAAATTTATCTTTCAATGAGCTTTTAAGTGTTTTTTATGATTTATTTAATGAATGTAAATTAATTAGTAAAAAATATAAACCATTAAAAAGAGAGTATGCTTCTCTTGTTAGTGATTTTGATAAATTAAAAGTTGAGCACAATGATAGTTTAGGTCCTTATACAAAATGTGATGAATTAGAAATGCTTAAAAAGAAAAACTTACTACTCAAAGAAACCTTAGAAAAGTTTGAGGTTGGTAGCAAATCCTTGAACATGATCCTTGTCAATAAGACTCACGTTTATGGAATAGGCGGAATTAGATTTGTGAGTAGCTCTCACCAAAATCCAACCACCTTTGTTAAAGGCTCTACCTTGCATGTTTCACCCCAAAACAAATGTAACTTTTATTACAAATTTGGATATGTTTCGTATAAATATCCATTTAAGAGACATAGTCCATATAAATTGATTTGGATTCCTAAAGGAACCTCAAATGACTCAATGCAACATGATAAATTATGTAGATTGATTTTTGAGGTGCCCAAGGTCAAATAAGTACCTAAAAATCATCTTTTTTTATAGAATTATCTATCATAATAAGCTAAGAGCAAGAATGATAGTTTGATAGTAGATGCTCAAGACTTATGACTAGAGATCCAAAATAACTCATAAAGCTCTCTAGCCAAAATAACAAAGAAAAGATCATTATAATTAAAACTATCAATTACAAAATGATACTTATATTCCATAAGATCATGTTTGATGACTTGATGATGCAATGATTATTTGAAATCTTATATGATAAACACTTGATCTTGATCTCTCGATATTTGAAACTTGAGAATTCTTATGCATGAGTTTCTTTCTCACAATTTTTGGATTTCTAGATTTCTCGGCATTTGAAAATTGAGTCTTTATTTGCTATTATTTCTTCTCATTGCAAAAAGGGAAATTTGATTCATGGAATATTGGTATAATTGGTCTTTTATGAATTAATAATTTTAAAAAAAGTTCTTCCTCCCAATTACGAAAATTGAACTTCATTTTGACTTGATACAATATTTACGTGAATAAGCATTCGCACCACAAAATGACTAATGTCTTGCTTAAAAGAGTAGGTAAGAATTCTTGCCTATTGAGAAGCAATGATGCTAGATGAAGAAAAATAATAAGTTAAGGAAAACAGTGCACCGGCGGTGGCACCGTCGGATTGGCAGTAACACCGCTAGTAGGCACTGGTTGTAGGTAGTGGCACCGCCAGTAACTCTGTCCTATAAAAAGGCTTTTAGGACCGGTGGTAAAACCGACCGCAGGCCCTCCTACATCTCTTTCCCATACCTCTAAACCCCTCTCCACCCCTCATTCTCCTTGCTCCTTCTCTGGAAACTCAAGGAAACCCTTCTCTTCTTCAAATCAAAGGATCAATCTCAACTTTTCAAGAAGATCACTACAAGGGTAATTCTCAAACCTTTTCTCTCAATTCATTAATAGATCTTGCCTCTTATATATAGTTCTTGTTAGGATCAAGAGTCGGCACTAAGAGAGGGGGTGAATTAGTGCAATGGTAAAATAACGTCGGTTTAAAAACTTTCGTACGATAAAAACTGATTTCGACGAAAATCGATTTCGGAAGCTTAATAACTTGGAAGCGTATG